GGGTTAATGGCATTTATGACTGGAGATTTGACTGCGTGTTCAGACACGCGGAATGACGCGGACGTTAATGGCGTAGACATATACGCATACACGCGGATACACGCGCATAGCACAAAATGCGTGGATATAACACGCCACCTGACTCGAAAGTGGCGTATATGTTTACGCAAAAGTCATGATGTCATGTTGCACAAGAGGTAGTTTGCTATGTAGCGCAACCAATATGATCAACAATTCTCATGTCGAACTAACACAGCCCAGAGGTATATTTTGCCATCTCAAAATGGTATACACAAAAAATTGTGGTTCAGTACATACCCCAGTTTCTGTCAATATTGTTGCAACCGGCAGCAACATACACTGCAGTTTATGGTGCTGTTGTAATTAAGGAAAGAGATTTGAAGTGCTTACAAATTCGGATGTAAAATATGTAAGCAAAATATTTTAAAATCATATAGGTTAGAATTAACATGGTCCCATCTACATTGTGCACCAGCACTCGTCCATTGTAATCTGTGACGTTAAATGTAGACTTGCTTGCTTTCAGGATAATCTTTTTTGTGAAATGGATCACTCTCTCCTTTTATTTTTCAGACGTGTTCACACTGTCAAAGTACATCAATATAAGCGATATTGTTCCATCTTAGGGGTTTGAAAATGTTCAACAAACAGACGTTTTTCATGTGCAGTGTTTAAAATAGTGCTGTCAATCGAATAAAAAAAATAGATTATAAAAAAAAAATGTCTGTGATTTAATCACAATTAAAACACTTATGTCTTTAATATTTTAATATATAATAATATATTATTAATTATTAATTAATATAATAATTTACCAGTTAATCTCCAAATTAATATAGAAACAACATAAAGACTGTCACGGTGTGGTGCAGGCAGAGGAACAGGCAGAGTCCAGAAGATCAATTAATAAAACTTTTATATTATTTTATGTAAGTGAGTTCAGGTGAGGAGACAAGAGGATCCTGGGAAGTGTAGTGAAGAAGACGCAGACAGACTGGTGCAGACGGAGACTGTGACAGAACTCCCCCCTCCCGGAAGGCGTGGCCTCACGCCATAGAACAGAGGAGGGAGGGAGGGCGAGCTGAAGGCCGAGCGGGCGTGGCAAGGGCGGAGCAGGTCGATGGCGTGGCCAGGGTGGAGCAGGCTGAGGGCGTGGCCCGAGCGGAGAAGGCTGAGGACGAGACCAGGGCGGAGCAGGCTGAGGGCGTGGCGAGAGCGGAGCAAGCTGAGGACGAGACCAGGGCGGAGCAGGCTGAGGGCGAGACCAGGGCGGAACAGGCTGAGGGCGAGACCAGGGCGGAGCAGGCTGAAGGAGAGACCAGGGCGGAGCAGGCTGAGGGCGAGACCAGGGCGGAGCAGGCTGAAGGAGAGACCAGGGCGGAGCAGATGGAGGGAGGACCCATGGTGGAGCCGATGGAGGGAGGAGACGAGACGGAGGCGGGGCTGACGACATCAGGGGGCCGACTGACAGGGGCGGAGCAGATGGGAGAGGAGACCGGGGTGAAGCCATAGGGCCGACGAGACAGGGTGATGATGCTGGACTGGAGGAACATGGTGATCCCGCGGACCGAAGGACACGGTGAGGACAGAGGGAGTGAGGATCGACAGCGAACTGAAGGGAGTGAGGAGTCCAACGAAACCGGGGGGGTGAAATGACGAGGTGAAGACGGAGGATGGAAGTCCATAGGTGAGGGAAGGACGACGAGGGACCAAAGTGAATCCAGGGGGACGAGGGAGCCTGGCGGAACTGGTGGACTGAGGGGCCATAGTGGAGCTGAGGGAGGTAGGAGCCAAGGGGGAAACAATGGGACGAGGGGCCGAAGAATTATCCAGGGAGAGGAGGTTGAAGGAAGAGACTGGGCATCCACCGACCAGGCTGGATCAGGAGGGCTGGAAGGCAGAAGGGCTGACAGGAAAAAGATGAGAGGAGGCGGGAGAGGGAGGCTGGGTGGGATCCTGGTCTCTGGCTCAGGCTGGACGGTCTCTGGCTCAGGCTGGACGGTCTCCGGCGCTGGCTGGACGGAACCAGTGGTGAGGAGGGTTTAGGTTCGCCAGGGCTGGATGGAACCAGCGGTGAGGAGGGCTCAGATTCGGCAGGGCTGGACGGAACCAGCGGTGAAGAGATCTCAGGCTCGGCGGGGCTGGACGGAACCAGTGGTGAGGAGGACTCAGGCTCGGCGGGGATGGACGGAACCAGCGATGAGGAGGGTTCAGGCTCGGCAGGGCTGGGCGGAACCAGCGATGAGGAGGGTTCAGGCTCGGCAAGACGAGATGAGGAAAGGAGGCATGGTGATGGCAGGAGATGGTGGTTGGTCAACCACAGCACATGCTCTAAGTACTGGGAGAACGAGCCTGGAATAGCCGCCGCTGGAGCTCGCTGGTACAGATGATTGTCCAGACCGCCCCAAAAAAACGTTTTCAGGACTTCATCTGTCCAGCTTACCCCAACGGAAAGCTCCAGGAAGCTGGCCGACATATTCCTCAATGGAGCCGCCATCTTGGAAACAATGAATCAGGTGATCAACTGGAGTTAGGTGGTCCAGAGTGATCTTCATACTTATGGTCGGTCAATCTGTCTCGGTGTGGTGCAGGCAGAGGAACAGGCAGATAGTGATGTGACATTTGAAGCGAGGCGTCGGAGTTTGTGTCGAGCAAAAAGGGGCGTGCCAGATGAAGCCGCGATTCGAGGCTTGTGTTGTTAACGTGAAAATCACGTGACTAATGACAAACGAGGCCTCGGTTTGTGTGAAAACGTCATCGGTTCGTTCTGAGTGTCGTTTGTTCGAAATTCGCGCCACCTTGTGGGTGTTGTCAGGTAGTAGAATCAGTTGTAGTAGTGTCAGAGAGTCAGAGTTAGAGAGTTATCGTCATTATTGTGCAATATATATGTTAGGGCTGTAACGGTATATTATTACATTATTAGGTCAGATTAGTTATAGTATATTCATAGCTGCCAACTCTCACGCATTGGCCGTGAGACACCCGCATTTGATTGGTTTCACACGCTCACACGCCACACCCCCGATTTCTCACGCTGAAGTGTCAACCCTCCCGTTTTTCCGGGTTTCTCACGTATTTTAGCTCTTTTACTGTCTTCCCATGTTAGTATTTCCCATAAAATATCTCGTATTTTTACACTCTGATTGTGTGAGACGTACAAGCTCAGACAGATTCGGCTTGAAGTCGATCGTCCTCGGATGCGGTTCCGTGCGCGCTGTAACAAAATAGCTTTGCACACAGCTCGAAGTGAGGTCTTGCCGGTCTTGCGCACCCAACGCGTCATTTTTAACGCGCTTGTGCAGACGCGTCGAGTATAAACAAGGCTTTACTCCATGTCAGCGCATGCAGAGACCTCAAGGTGCAGAGACCTCTCCCAATCATCTCCAGCAGAAGCAGCCTCCCCGTTTCCCTCGTAAGCTGATCTTAGTATTTAAACATTCTCCATGGTATTTTTTTTAATGACACAGTGCTCTTTCTCACACATATGTGGGCTAGTTCTAAACTCTTTAGACTTTTTGATTAGTGAATCGTGAGAAAAAATGGTTCCTGGAAAATGGATGGTTCCTGGGAAATCTCCCTTTGATGTTGACAGCTATGGGTCAGTCAAATGCCTGAAAGATGAGTTTATCTATTGATCTATCTGTTGGGCAACTCGTGATCCACTAGTTATACCGCAAATTAGTTACAAATCTCCCGTGATATATAGCGAACGCCCCCCCGTCGACAGATCTCACGCCAAGCAAAACTCAAAAGTTGGCAGGTATGTATATTGTTAGTATTAATTATAGCTAAATTATAGTATTGTTATATTAATTAGGTACGATTATTTGGATTTGGACTGGACTGGTTTTTGATTTGGATTGCCCTTTTGGAATTGTTTGCTTTTTGTGACCTAATCCTTTTTTCTTGTAATGGAGCCAGCAAGAAAGAGGACATCATCCCCTCTCTGGGAGTTTTTTGAAATGTTTTCTCACAATTAGGTACAAACACACAATTTGTATTATTAGGGCCCGAGCACTAACAGTGCGAGGACCCTATTGAAACTGTTAGGGTTATTTTTATTATTATTTTTTTTTTCTGCAAAGTAAGCACCATTTTCGGGACCGCAACATGCTCAAAAACTCACCAAATTTGGCACGCTTGTCAGGACTGGTGAAAAATTTCGTATTTTGTGGGTTTTGCAGATCTGCACGAAATTTTAAACATTTGACAAGAGTCCCGCCCTGAACAAATCTACATGCCGACATTTACGCACAGTCATAGCGCCACCTGCTGGCAACAGGAAGTGACCTTTAACGAAGCAGCGTAGCAAATGTACAGCCGCACTGGCTGAGCTGCAGAATATGCAACGCGGCCGCCTCAGACTCCGACGCGCTACAGGTGCGAGGGCCCGCCCATCGCTGCTTGCAGCTTTAATTATTATTATAATTATTAGGTAACACTTTATTTTACGACCCGCAAACAACTGTGTAAGTACACCGAAATTACGGTGTACGTTTCTGTAATTATCGTGTACTTCCGTGTAGGTATAAGGGAACAATATGTTAAGTTTGGGGTAATAAAGGGGTAACAAGCACCACTTTAATTTACAGCCCGCAGAAGTTACACTTACCCTGTAACTACACGGAACAAAAATGCTACTTACTATGTAGCAATACGAAACAACATTATTTGCACTGTAATTACAGAGAAAGGTACTGTTATCAACAAAAAAATAAATAAAAAATTTAATACACAGTATATTTGCCCTGACATTTAAGTGTCATTGCAATTCAATGGGATAAGGTGAGTACTAATTACCACATGGTACGGTCTAAATTAAAATCATAGTAGAAACAAATTATTTTGACTTTTGTAGTAATCTAGTAAGAAAAGCCAATAAATTAAATTTTATCATTTTATATATATATATATATATATATATATATATATATATATTATGTACACAGTGTACTTTGTTTGTACAAAGTTATTTGCAGGTTGTATATCTGTTTGTTACCCCTTTATTACCCAAAACTTAACATATTGTTCCCTTGTACTTAGACGGAAGTACACTATAATTACAGAAATGTACACCGTAATTTCGGTGTACTTACACAGTTGTTTGCGGGTCGTAAAATAAAGTGTTACCCATTATTATTATTTTACTGTCTTGATATAATAATCCTTACTATATGGCTGTATTATATTTAATGTCTAAGCCCCAACACACTTGAAAAAAATCATTTCTAATCCTTCCTTTGTCCTCTACGTCCCCAGTCCCATGAGCACAACACTGCACAAAAATAGTAACAGTTCAATACAAAAAATCACCAGAAACAATTCTTAAACCTTTACCACACCACACTCTTCTGTTGCACTTTACTTTATTACACTCCCTCCACCATAAGCACTGCACTCAACAGTGTAACTTTTATTGTTCATACTGTCACTATCCAAATCATTTATGAATAATTAATTAACTCTGTGTGTGTGTGTGTGTGTGTGTGTGTGTGAGAGAGAGAGAGAAAGAGAGAGAGAGAGAGAGAGAGAGAGAGAGAGAGAATGCTGTCTCTGCAGAAGTAAATTCAGACAGAATATACATATTTTATTTTATTCCCAGGCAATGGACAAATGCCTGCTCAGGTATTTGTATTATTGCAAATGAAAGGTTACAGACATTAACAGTGAGAAGACAAAAATAAAATAAAACAACGGGGGGTATAGGCCGCCTACGGACATCATAAGTCTGCTCAGGTCATTGCTTCAGAATTAAATAATTTGTTTGCTATTTCTTTGCACAGTAGCTACAGTAGGTATCTCTAGTGAGCAATACTGAATGAAGCTTCGAGTAATGAACCTTTGGGTGAAGCAATGGGCTGCGAGGTCTCAGTGATTCAGGAAGCCTCATTTTGTCATCACTACAGGCAGAGTCCAGAAGATCAATTAATATAACTTTTACTCACAGAAGAACAGGCAAGGATACAAGTAGACGGGCGCAAACACAGTGTAACATTCACATTGACCGACAAAGACTGACTGAATGAGGGAGAACTAAATACAAGAAGGAATCAAACATAATGAGGTGAAGACAGGTGATCCAGATGAACAAGACGATGAACAGGAGGCTGATGAGGAAGTGAGTTCAGGTGAGGAGACAAGAGGATCAGCAGGGACTGCCATATGTTTCACTATCCCCCTGGGCTATATGTGTATTCCAGGCCTTCATCAGGCGACTGGCTTCCGCAGCGTTCCCTTCCCCTTCTTCGAGTTGGGCACGCTTTCCCAGTATTATCCAATGTCCGCTGGTTGGGTCTTGCGGAACAGCAGTGTGACTTCCTAGCTAGCTACCTTTATTTCTGAAACTGCACTGGGCGCTGGAAGGGGCCAGCATCATGGCGTTTTATTAGGGATCCCAATTCGTCAGGGAATCCCTGATGACACATCGGAGTTCCCAGGATGAAAGGGAACGTCTCGGTTACGTATGTAACCCTCGTTCCCTGAGTACGGGGAACGGAGACGTGTCGTCCCTTCACCATGTTGTTTACCTTCGCGGAGGGCTGGAGTCTGTTCGGCTCCTCTAACAAACTATAGCAGTGTTTCCCAACCCTGTTCCTGGCGGCACACCAACACTGCATGTTTTCTTTGTCTCCCTAATCAAACACACCCGATTCAACTCACCAGCTCATTAACCCACCTGATTATG